ACAGTTTCTCATGTTGTGACCCAACCATAAAATTATTTTCATTGCTACTTCATAACTGTAATGTTGCTACTGTTATGAATCGTAATGTAAATATCTGATATGCAGGATGGTCTTAGGCGACCCCTGTGAAAGGGTCGTTCGACCGCCAAAGGGGTCGCGACCCACAGGTTGAGACCGCTGCCCTATATCTACACGTCCAACTTTGGTCCTTGGCTACAATTTGGCAATTGGTGCTGGAAAGGCTCGACAAAAGTAAAACTCTCTGCCTCTAGGTAAAGAAATAGAAAGAAATGAATGCATGTGTGTGCCTATGACTGAACTAAGAAGGGTAATCAGAAGAAGAAATACAAATTTTTATTCCCTCTATTAAAGTACAAGGTCTAATAAAGCCCAGAAACATGCTCCCAATCACAGATTTCACTTCTCTGCTTCAAAAGAAGCTGCTATTAAAAATATATCCTCCTACAAATATTTATTTTTTGGGACCCTCCCTATCTTTATGGAGGGTTCCAAAGTTGTTTAGGCGGTGGCTGAAAGCAGGAGAGCTCTAGTACAAAAAGTTGGGGTTTAAATCCTGGCTCTGTCCCACCTTAGTTGTGTAGGCAACTTGCTAATCACTCTGGTGTATCGTTTTCTCATCTACAAAATGGTTTGTTGTGAAGATTAAGTAATTAAATATGGATAAACAGCTAGAACAGTAACCGCCAAATAGTAAGCACTCAACAGAGGTTAGTTATCACAACCAGTGCCCACAGGACGACTCTAAGAAAAGGGTCCAGTGTCCCTTACATCCAGTCAAGACTCTTTAGCTGGACAGAGGGCTTGCTGCATTATGAAATTCAAAAATTCAAATACAGCTGATAGCTCCCCTCTCTTACTGTGTAATTATATGTACTCATTATTTGTACAGCATGTTAGTTAAATGTCCCTAATTTCAGTCCCAGTGGGCTAAGAGTCCTCAAAGAGTGGCCTCAGCCTTTGCCAGCCCTTTCCTAAGATTTTGTCAAATTATTACAGCCAGAAAAAGTAGCATTATCTACAGCAGAAGTAAACAGAAGGCTCACAATCAGCAGAAATCTAAGCACTGCCTTCTAAGCCTGGCTGTAACCAACAAGCTGTAATGATGGTTCAGTTCCGACACAGACAATCCACGTTCAAGACTCACATTCACTACCTCTAAAAGGACAAAAAATGTCATTCCCTGTCACTTTAAAACCACAAAAGCAAGATTGATGGCAAACATGGATTTTACTATCTTTTGTCTGCTTGTGTTATTACTACTACACTAGACCTGCAGAAATGGGGCAGCTGAGCTCAGCCGCTCAGATCCAAGCTGCCACTGTTTGAACACTGTCAACAGATACCAGACCCCCAGCCAGCCTCACCCAAGAGGGAAGCAGTGCAAGGGGCTGCTTGTTCAGCATCCTAGCATAGCAATGACTTAGCAGAAGTGATGTCAATTCAAATAAGATACAAAATTATGCTAGGCCCATTCTATTGTTAATGCAAAATATTATTTTAAATTGTATTTTCCCAGGAAACTCTGTTTGGATCAATCACCCAGAAATATCTTTGTTTAAAATTTAGTAGGAGGAAAGAAAAAAATAAAACACCTTGTTTTCAAAACTACTCTTGCAAAGATATGGTGTAATTTTTATCTGGTATGTGTTCTAAAATAAGTACTGGATGCAAAGTTACACAACTTTGAACTGCAATTCCAATGCTGCTACTGTATAATAAATAACAGAGTCAGGAAAGCCACTACCGCACACAACAGGGATGTTTATTCAGCCTGCAGGTGAAAAACACCAAGGTGAACAAACTCAGAGGTATGTCACTACCCAAGGTCCCCAAGTGACAAAGGGGGGGACAGGGGCACAAGCCCTCCCCATCTGGGGAACAGGTACATGCTCTAGCCCGTATGCCATCTAGTTTCAGACCCCACCTCCCAGTAAGGGCTCGGTACTGGACAGTTTCCAAAATTTACCACCAGACAAATTTCTGTCACAATTAAAATAGGACCAATGGAATTATTTCAACTTTTAAAAATAAAGGTAAAAACAAGTACCTTGTATGACTGTTAAAACCACTCTCCACTCTCCCTCTACTACCTTGCCTTCACTTGTCCACAATGAAGAATCCAGAGATTGTATTCTGTGATGTACAGCTTAAGACAGAGTCACTCTATTGTACAGTATATGAATTATAATCTATTATGAAGCATCCATTCAAACTCAAGTGATGCACATGTACACACATTCAAAGAGAACACTGCTTGCAATCATCCTTACTCCCAACCCCATTCAGCCAAAAAATGAATGTTCCCTGCTATTTCAGCTTTCTCTGATCACACCCTCCTAGAGAGCACTCCTGAGATTCTGGGATCTATAAGAGTTATTCCCATGGTAACAATTCTGTTTCCCTGTGCTTTCCAGTAACCCCCAAACAGGAAAGCACACTTTAACATGTTAGCTTCATTTAAGAAAATTCTTCTTAAAACACACTTAAGTTCTGAAACAAGGAGATAGATGTGTTTACTTAGAACTGCTATTGAAATGCAATATACAAAATAACAAAAAGGTGGCCTTGGAATGTTACCTGCACAAACACCAACAGGAACTAGAAAAAGGCATATTCACAGCAATTTCACAACCAAACTGAGAGTGTTAATAAAAAAAAAAAAAAAAAAAGACACGTCAGTCTTTATTAGGGTGAAAGGCAAACTAACACGACAAAAACTACCTTATCTTTATAAAGCTGGTACAAGAATTATTTAAAGCCTTCAATGATCCCGATAGAGATACCTTTGATAACTTTTCTTAGAATTCTTTCCTTTGCATTGTCAATACCTCAACTATGCCCAAAAAACATGAGAGCCACATTTATAGCCAACTAGCTGGTAGTGCTCTTTGCTTCTCGGATAACTTACTTCAGTTTTTGTTCTTTTACCCAAATTCCACTTTCATTCAATCCTGGACACCTAGCTAACTTCTTGTCCTAAAAGCTGATTTTCCCCAACTAGGCTGGTGTGTAAAAAAATTAAGAGATTCCCAGGGCAATAAAGCATTACCACTCATGAACAGCAGAATTAAGCATTCTTATCACAACCCTAAGATCTACACCCATAATTAAATTCCTCCCACTACCATTCTAAAAATCTTAATCAAGCAAAACCCTGTTCCTCAACTTATTTTCATTTGGGGTTACATCCAAATAAGATATTTTCAGTTTACAATGCATTTAATAGACCTAAGCTAGCATAGATTAGCCCAGCCTACCTTAAATGTGCTCAGAACACTTAAAGTTTGGCAAAATGTTCTAACAAAGTCCATTTTAAAATAACGTGTTGACTATCTCATGTGATGTATTATGTGTATCACTGTCACACCATCATTAAGTTGAAAAATCATCAACTCGAACCATCGTAAGTTGGGGAACCATTGGTATTCAGTGTGAAGCAATGACAAGAACTATCACATCAAATGTTCTCCAAATAGACAAGGGAATATAGTTTACTATATTATAGGCAGCCAAGGAATAGATGGGGTCTCTGTCTGTTGGAGATCCATGGGGGTCCAAACAGTGTACTGTGGCAACAAATTCCACTACTTATTTTACTTCTGCAAATGCGAAAGAAATTGTAAAAGGGCCTTTCCCGGCCCTAACCAGTTTGGCTCAGTGGAAACGGCGTTGGCCTGCAGACTCAAGGGTCCCAGGTTCAATTCCAGTCAAGGGCATGTACCTTGGCTGAGGGCACATACCCAGTAGGGAGTGTGCAGGAGACAGCTGATTAATGTTTCTCTCTCATTAATGTTTCTAACTCTCTATCCCTTTCCCTTCCTCTCTGTAAAAAATCAATAAAATGTGTTGTTTTTTTTAAAAAGAGGCCTTTCCCATTACATATGGCTCAGAATTTAAGGGTTCTTGTTTCAAACCACACAATACTAGAAAAGAAAGAACTTGGGTGGATGGCAGGAGGTCATCTCACTAAATCCCGCCACAGCCCTGTGGAAACAGAGCAGCAACAGGTCCCATCTGCAAGCACCAATTCCAACAAGAGGCTTCCAGACAACTCACCTTTCCACTAAGCAGGCTGGAAAGAAAGTGGAAGCCCTAAGTGAACCCGTCACTCTGCATCCTGGAAAGCTGCTGAGAACCCACATGGGATAACTGTTACCCCAAGACCAGAGCAAAGATTCTAAGAAAAAACAGTATCTCTTTTTCTTCATCTCCATGCAAGTACAAACCAGAACATGGACTCACACTATCCATAATTCTAAGAAACTAGAAAATACAAGAGAAACTTTGGAATGCCACCACAGCCACATCCCCTGAAAAACCAAATGTTAGTTCTGAAATGGTTTTTGTTAGATGACTTCATCTGAATCATACTAAATCTCATTAAAAAGAGAGATAAGAATAAAGGCAGATAGCAGCAAGTCTCCTTGTAGGCTTCAAGGATCCTACTGATAACCATACAGAAAGAGGTAAAATTCCAGATACACAGAAATTCTATGCCACTGTATACTTGCTGCTGGGTAGCAACCTGCCCGACCTGATCAACATACAAAGAAGCAGGTGCTTAGGAGGCTGCTGAGCCTGAGAGCAGGAAAGGCAGTAGGCACACCATGGATTTAGGCTACTTCCCTTTACAAACAGGGGATAAGAATCAAAGACATCACTCCACAGTAAGATCATCAAAGACTTCTGCTGTCATACTTGGGTATGAAGCAGATATCCACAGGAATACCTATAATACAGGCTCCACATTCAACCCAGAAAGAAATCAGATTTGCAGCCCCGGTCCTGTGTATAGAGAATAGACTAATTACTTGACAGTGGTGCAGCACATAAAGGAACATGAAAATGAATCTATAAACCCAAAAAAATTGTCCAGAATAACTGCAGGTAAAAGACTTAGCTTAAAAAGCACAAGTTGCAAAACACATCCAATTCAGAAACAAGGATGTGCCCAGAGATTCAACAAATATTCAACTCACCATTTACTGTTTTCAGGCTCCCAGCAATGCCTTCACCATGCTGTCTCTTCTGAGCATTCTTGAACTCCTTCAGAGACAAGTAAAGGACTTTACGTACCACCCTTTCTTCTGACCATGGAATCCCATCACTGTCATCCTGGAGAAACCAAGAGATGAAAAAAAGGAGAGTTACTTGAAAGAAAGCAGGTAAATACTAAGTCAAAATAAACCTTTTTTTTTTTTTTAATTTCAAACAAGTATTGTGTGATCAAGACATGGTTCTAGAGATCAATATTACAGCATATGGTTAAGAGATAGCACTGGCCCTTCAGACATCTGGAGAGACCTCAAGCAAAAAGCGAACCCACAGGCTGTACAAGGGACTGAAAGAAAGATAAAACCACCTCACTCGCCGTAGCAGGTTTGGCTCAGTGGATAGAGCGTCAGCCTATGGACTGAAAGGTCCCAGGTTCGATTCCGGTCAAGGGCATGTACCTTGGTTGTGGGCACATCCCCAGTGGGGGGTGTGCAGGAGGCAGCTGATCGATGTTTCTCTCTCATTGATGTTTCTAACTCTCTATCCCTCTCCCTTCCTCTCTGTAAAAAATCAATAAAATATATATTTAAAAAAAAACAAACACCTCACTCCCCTTAGCTATCCATATCCAAAGACCTTCATTAATGGGGAATACGGAAGTTTTCTATTCCTAACAAAGTTCATAAATAGTTGTTATTACACTCACAACCGGGTGTGTAATAATGAACCATTGTGCTGGAGTTTTAAAAAGCAAGCAATGCCAAAATGTATACTACCTTACAAATATAGGGTATCCCCCCCAAAAAAGTATAACATATATTTTTTGATAGCTCAATTGTTTTTTTTTTCTATTCAGGTTTAACCCATTGGAATTAATAATTATTCAAAGTGTGTATGCATTTTTGGGGATACCCTGTATGTGCTCCACTTTTGTTGTCATTGGGGTGTTGGTGCTACCTTCAAGGAAATTTACAATTCAGTCAGAAACTGGATCAGCAATAGGCTCTTAAGAAAATAAGTCACCAGGAGGGCGGGGCGAGGGGTGGAGGGGAGACACCAGTGTGGAAAAGGGCAATGGAATGGGGGAAAAGAGGGAACTTGAGAGATAAAAATACACACAGGTTAATAACAGGTCTTGAAGGTCTAATTCAGGGGTCCTCAAACTTTTTAAACGGGGGGCCAGTTCACTGTCCCTTAGACCATTGGAGGGCCGGACTATAGTTTAAAAAAAAACTATGAACAAATTCCTATGCACACTGCACATATCTTATTTTGAAGTAAAAAAACAAAACAGGAACAAATACAATATTTGTATTTGCATGTGGCCCGCAGGCCATAGTTTGAGGACCCTTGGTCTAATTTAAAAGTGTGGCTCCCTATGTCTGCTGTATCAGATCCAATGCAAGTTCTTGACAGAGGAATGAACAAAATAAAGGCCAGGTTGGAAGAAGGTGGGGGCGGAGGAATCAAAGAACTAGCAGCCAGCCTATAGACCATTCTAGTAGTAAAGATATAAAGAACGATTAGAGCCCTGACCGGTTTGGCTCAGTGGATAGAGCGTCGGCCTGCGAACTGAAAGGTCCCAGGTTCGATTCCGGCCAAGGGCATGTACCTTGGTTGCGGGCACATCCCCAGTAGGAGGTGTGCAAGAGGCAGCTGATCGATGTTTCTCTCTCATCGATGTTTCTAACTCTCTATCCCTCTCTCTTCCTCTCTGTGAAAAATCAATAAAATATATTTAAAAAAGAACGATTAGAATTGAAGAGGCAGTAAGGGAGGAGGGAGCAGGGAGGGACACAACGGCAGGAAACCAAGACAGAACATGAGCAAGACTGGAGGATGGAGATGGCTGACACCGTAACTAAATTGAGACAACTGTTGTAGGAAACCAAGAACAAGGTGTTTAAGGCTTAAGGGGTAGACTCATATGGCTAAGGACATTCTTAGGTTCTGTGGATATCTATGCACAATTTGCTTATCTAAGAAGCCCTCATATTCACACACCTGCTTCAAGACTTAAGCATTTTTTTAAAATATATTTTTATTGATTTTAGAGAGGGAGAGAGAGAGAGAGAGAGAGAGAGAGAGAGAGAAACATCAATGATGAGAATCACTGATCAACTGCCTCCTGCACGCCCCCTACTGGGGATCGAGCCTGCAACCCAGGCATGTGCCCTTGGCCAGAATCGAACCTGGGACCCTTCAGCCCACAGGCCAACGCTCTATCCACTGAGCCAAACCAAACAGGGCAAGACTTAAGCATTTTATCACACAGTTCTATTTAGACATACAAGTATTTGAGCTTCTCAGATATTCTGGGCATCAAGAGAATAAGGGAAACATTAATACCGTGGGTAAAAACAGGGCTTTGGATATTCATGTTCCCTCTGGTCAAACAGGAGCCCGAACACTTCAGAGTCAGACTGGTGCTGGTGTACTGGATGTCCAACAAATTGGTTTTTACTCCCTGCCACTAACAGGTGACATAAAACCTCCATGGGACTCAATAAGGGATCTGGGATAGCTGAGGTCTTTTCCAGCTCTTAAATTCCTAAACTCCGCATAAATACAAACTACACCTTAGAAATACAACCACATAGGAACTCGAAGCCCTAAATAAGTTAAGCTGCACTCTTATTAAGCTTCAGGGATTTCCTAGAATCAGAGTGACTCTCCATCTTCTATAATAGAGGAGCCCTGGGAAGAAGGGAGCTAGGATTTCCACTTTCCCCTGCACACTCTTCCCTCCTGTAGACATGCCAAGCTGTGATTTCCGATATCGCTAGAGGAAGAAGGCACATCCTGTCTTCCTGGTTGCTCTCCTGAGAGCCAAGGCATCTACTAACCAGGATGGTGGTCGAGATTCAAACATGAAGGTTTAAAGAAGCAGCAAATCTTGCCTCAACCCAATAAGAGGAACACACACAATTTCTTAACTGCTACTTGGTACAAGTCACTGCAGACCTTCCAATCACCTGGTTAAAAAACAGAAAAATTAAGAACTCTAACCAGACCTATCTGGGGAGCCCAAATAACTAAGCTGAGTAAAAGGCAGATGCTTTAGCTACACAACACATACAAAGCACATCCTAGTTGAATTTGCTCTTATAGCAACTCCCTACTCCCTTGAATTTCTATGAAAGCTCTCCTAGCATATTCTTTGCAACTGAATGACAGTCTTAAATGTGGCAGGAGTTAATGCTTATTAGATTGAAATGCACTTTTTCAGCTTCCACAGTCAGTCTATGCAATAAAGGCTGTGCAGCAAAAATCTTCTCATTGTAACCAAGTTCCTATTCTCATCTTTTGCATCTCCACAAGTGATGTGATTATAAACTATTATTTCCTACATCTACACCGTGTATACATTTTAAAGCCCCAAAATAGCTTTCAATGTAAAATTCCAGTGACAATTTTCTGCATCCTATTCAGGCTGATACCTCCATTCTGACTTCAGGCCTCCATAATAGAGAATTACACCTCTACAACTAATGTCTAATTAAAACATAAACCATGTGAGATGAAAACTCCTGCAAGGAAGACACATTTAGGGTTCACTTACTGGTACAAGAGCAGTTTCATTACACCTTTAAAGTACTTTAAATACAAAAGAGGCACATCCATGACACAGATTATGGGTTTTTAAATTCTAAACATTAAAATCAAACTTACTTTTAAAGCACATGTGTTCTTTTATAACCTGGGGTGCTGGTCAAGACTTGTCACCATCCTCAATACTAATGCAAGACACAAACCTAATGGGTGACTCTGTTCTGCTTCCAAAAGTTCAATAGGTAGGCAATAACTCAGAAATTAAACTGCCTTTCACAGCTGCAGAGTCATGATGAATCACCCTACACTCAGCTTGCAGACCACGGTGGTGGATCCCCTACCTAGTGGAATGGAGATGTGGAAATCAAAGGTGTGTGCCCAACCATGAGGCAGCATAGCACTCTCCAAGTTGGGTGTCATGGAAGGCCAGAAAGAGTCTAATACTCACTCTGCTATTCAGAACAGCCAACCACTGAGTACTCTAAAAAAACAGCCCCAACATCATAACTATCATTAAAGATCAGGCAACACGAATTACAAACACCTCTCTACGAGTTTATATGACCTCTAACTAAAGGGCTTCCTTTTTATTTTCCCTTTTTCAATAGTTGTCTTATTTAATCAGTCATTTAAACAATGTCTGCATGGGGTCAGGAAATTGTTTTTGCTGTTCACCACTGTTATCCCAGCCCCTAAAACAAGCATGTCAAACTCGCAGCCCACAGGCTGCATGCAGCCCACAACGGATATTTTTGTGGCCCAGCCAATTAACGGGTATGTGAGAAACATTTTAATAAAAAATTTTCGTAACTAAATTTTTATAATATCCTATTACACATAATCCTATATAATAAAAGGCTAATATGCAAATTGACCGAACGGCTGAACGACAGGTCGTTATGACGTGCACTGACCACCAGGGGGCAGACACTCAATGCAGGAGCTGCCCCCTGGTGGTTAGTGGGCTCCCACAGGTAGAGCTCCGCTCAGCCAGAAGCCGGGCTCATGGCTGGCGAGTGCAGTGACGGTGGCGGGAGCCTCTCCCGCCTCTGAGGCAGCACTAAGGATGCCTGACTGCTGGCTTAGGCCCGCTCCTCGGCCTAAGCCATCAGTCTGACATCCCCCAAGGGCTCCCAGACTGCGAGAGGGTGCAGACCAGGCTGAGGGACCCCCCGAGTGTATGATTTTCATGCACCAGGCCTCTAGTTAATAATAACGAACTACAACATTCGCTAATGACTGATTACTACAATTGTGTTGCATTCATTTCCCTTACACGCCTTACATGCAGAACCATTTCTCCTCTCTACTAATACTAGCAGTGAATATTTTAGCAGCTGATTGCCAAGTCATTAGACTTGGACTGACTTGTTTGGTGTGCACAACAGGAAATATTTCGCTTTCAGAGAACAAGAAAAATAGGTTTATTTGCGTTACGCTTATTAATTTGTGCAGTTATTCAATGTCTGGTAAGTTAATGTTCAGGAAAAATATTTTTATTAAAATGTCCTATTATTTTATGTTAACGATTACTCATTTATTTCAGCCCTTTGTATTCAGTGTGTCTT